ACAAGCTTTAAAGGATACATTAAACAAGATGGACTTAATTGATATTTATAGGACATTGCATCCAAAAACAACAGAATACACATTTTTCTCAAGTGCTCATGGAACATTCTCCAGGATAGATCATATCTTGGGTCACAAATCAAGTCTTGGTAAATTTAAGAAAATTGAAATTGTATCAAGTATCTTTTCCGACCACAATGCCATGAGACTAGATATCAATTACAGGAAAAGATCTGTAAAAAATACAAACACATGGAAGCTAAACAATACACTACTTAATAATGAAGTGATCACTGAAGAAATCAAAGAGGAAATCAAAAAATACCTAGAAACAAATGACAATGGAGACACAATGACCCAAAACCTATGGGATGCAGCAAAAGCAGTTCTAAGGGGGAAGTTTATAGCAATACAAGCCCACCTTAAGAAGCAGGAAACATCTCGAATAAACAACCTAACCTTGCACCTCAAGCAATTAGAGAAAGAAGAACAAAAAAACCCCAAAGCTAGCAGAAGGAAAGAAATCATAAAAATCAGATCAGAAATGAATGAAAAAGAAATGAAGGAAACAATAGCAAAGATCAATAAAACTAAAAGCTGGTTCTTTAAGAAGATAAACAAAATAGATAAACCACTAGCCAGACGCATCAAGAAAAAAAGGGAGAAGACTCAAATCAATAGAATTAGAAATGAAAAAAGAGAAGTAACAACTGACACTGCAGAAATAAAAAAGATCATGAGAGATTACTACAAGCAACTCTATGCCAATAAAACGGACAATCTGGAAGAAATGGACAAATTCTTAGAAATACACAACCTGCCAAGACTGAATCAGGAAGAAATAGAAAATATGAACAGACCAATCACAAGCACTGAAATTGAAACTGTGATTAAAAGTCTTCCAACAAACAAAAGCCCAGGACCAGATGGCTTCACAGTAGAATTCTATGAAACATTTAGAGAAGAGCTAACACCTATCCTTCTCAAACTCTTCCAAAATATAGCAGAGGGAGGAACACTCCCAAATTCCTTCTACGAGGCCACCATCACCTTGATACCAAAACCAGACAAGGATGTCACAAAGAAAGAAAACTACAGGCCAATATCACTGATGAAAATAGATGCAAAAATCCTCAACAAAATACTAGCAAACAGAATCCAACAGCACATTAAAAGCATCATACACCATGATCAAGTGGAGTTTATCCCAGGAATGAAAGGATTCTTCAATATATGCAAATCTATCAATGTGATAAACCATATTAACAAATTGAAGGAGAAAAACCGTATGATCATCTCAATAGATGCAGAGAAAGCTTTTGACAAAATTCAACACCAATTTATGATAAAAACCCTGCAGAAAGTAGACATAGAGGGAACTTTCCTCAACATAATAAAGGCCATATATTACAAGCCCACAGCCAACATCATCCTCAATGGTGAAAAACTGAAAGCATTTCCACTAAGATCAGGAACAAGACAAGGTTGCCCACTCTCACTACTCTTATTCAACATAGTTTTGGAAGTTTTAGCTACAGCAATCAGAGAAGAAAAGGAAATAAAAGGAATCCAAATCGGAAAAGAAGAAGTAAAGCTGTCACTGTTTGCAGATGACATGACACTATACATAGCGAATCCTAAAGATGCTACCAGAAAACTACTAGAGCTAATCAATGAATTTGGTAAAGTAGCAGGATACAAAATTAATGCACAAAAATCTCTGGCATTCCTATATACTAATGATGAAAAATCTGCAAGTGAAATCAAGAAAACACTCCCATTTACCATTGCAACAAAAAGAATAAAATATCTAGGAATAAACCTAGCTAAGGAGACAAAAGACCTGTATGCAGAAAATTATAAGACACTGATGAAAGAAATTAAAGATGATACAAATAGATGGAGAGATATACCACATTCTTGGATTGGAAGAATCAACATTGTGAAAATGATTCTACTACCCAAAGCAATGTATAGATTCAATGCAATCCCTATCAAACTACCACTGGCATTTTTCACAGAACTAGAACAAAAAATTTCACAATTTGTATGGAAACACAAAAGACCCCGAATAGCCAAAGTAATCTTGAGAACGAAAAAAGGAGCTGGAGGAATCAGGCTCCCTGACTTCAGACTATACTATAAAGCTACATTAATCAAGACAGTATGGTACTGGCACAAAAACAGAAAGATATATTAATGGAACGGGATAGAAAGCCCAGAGAAAAACCCATGCACATATGGGCACCTTATCTTTGATAAACGTGGCAGGAGTGTACAGTGGAGAAAGGACAGCCTCTTCAATAAGTGGTGCTGGGAAAACTGGACAGGTACATGTAAAAGTATGAGATTAGATCACTCCCTAACACCATGCACAAAAATAAGCTCAAAATGGATTAAAGACCTAAATGTAAGGCCAGAAACTATCAAACTCTTAGAGGAAAAGAGAGGCATAACACTCTGTGACATAAATCACAGCAAGATCCTTTTTGACCCACCTCCTAGAGTAATGGAAATTAAAACAAAAATAAACAAATGGGACCTAATGAAACTTCAAAGCTTTTGCACAGCAAAGGAAACCATAAACAAGACCAAAAGACAACCCTCAGAATGGGAGAAAATATTTGCAAATGAAGCAACTGACAAAGGATTAATCTCCAAAATTTACAAGCAGCTCATGCATCTCAATAACAAAAAAACAAACAACCCAATCGAAAAATGGGCAGAAGACCTAAATAGACATTTCTCCAAAGAAGATATACAGACTGCCAACAAACACATGAAAGAATGCTCAACATCATTAATCATTAGAGAAATGCAAATCAAAACTACAATGAGGTATCATCTCACACCAGTCAGAATGGCCATCATCAAAAAATCTAGAAACAATAAATGCTGGAGAGGGTGTGGAGAAAAGGGAACACTCTTGCACTGCTGGTGGGAATGTGAATTGGTTAAGCCCCTATGGAGAACAGTATGGAGGTTCCTTAAAAAACTACAAATAGAACTACCATATGACCCAGCAATCCCACTACTGGGCATATACCCTGAGAAAACCATAATTCAAAAAGAGTCATGTACCAAAATGTTCATTGCAGCTCTATTTACAATAGCCTGGAGATGGAAACAACCTAAGTGCCCATCATCAGATGAATGGATAAAGAAGATGTGGCACATATATACAATGGAATATTACTCAGCCATAAAAAGAAACGAAATTGAGCTATTTGTAATGAGCTGGATAGACCTAGAGTCTTTCATACAGAGTGAAGTAAGTCAGAAAGAAAAAGACAAATACCGTATGCTAACACATATATATGGAATTTAAGAAAAAAAAATGTCATGAATAACCTAGGGATAAGACAGGAATAAAGACACAGACCTACTGGAGAACGGACTTGAGGATATGGGGAGGGGGAAGGGTGAGCTGTGACAGGACGAGAGAGAGTCATGGACATACACACACTACCAAACGTAGTAAGGTAGATAGCTAGTGAGAAGCATCCGCATGGCACAGGGATATCGGATTGGTGCTTTGTGACCGCCTGGAGGGGTGGGATAGGGAGGGTGGGAGGGAGGGAGACGCAAGAGGGAAGAGATATGGGAATATATGTATATGTATAACTGATTCACTTTGTTAAAAAACAGAAACTAACACACCATTGTAAAGCAATTATACCCCAATAAAGATGTTTAAAAAAAAATGTATAGTATAGAGCTAAAGCTTTCAAGCCTTTTTGATTATGATTTATAGTTAGAAATACAGTTTATCTAATGACCATGTTCACACATATATATGGATAATTAAAGCAAAAATTTCGGAAAACAATGTCTAACTTTCTTCATGCAATGTAATTAGATATTTGCCTATTATCTTCTATTTATTTAATTTAAAGCACGAGGTCATAATACACTATATTGACTTTACAGTTCCTGATCAACAGTTAAAACAGTTTAAAACAAATAATTTCAAATAAAAGGGAACTTTATGAGCATGATATTTAATTCCAAATGTAGAGCTTTTCTTACAGCTTATGTGATGTTCTTTATTTTTAGCTGGGATTCATGCCTACCCCTTAGGCATTTGCATTTACATATTAATTTATCAACCCCTTGGGTCCTGAGAGGATGAAACACAAATAAAATAAATTTTGGTGAAAATAATCCTTGAATGGTGGGAAGCAGGAAAATGTTGAAGGGGAAAGCGTGACAAATCTAGCCAAGGATGAGTGACTTGGTGGGTGTGGTGCTCCGAAGAATTACCTAACCTAGTAATCAAATAAAGATCAATCAGAATACCACTTATAGAATTAGGGGAACTTGGGGGGTAAAATCTAGTAGATAGAATCATGTAAGCTATTTTGTCTCTTTCATCACTCAGCTCAGGGGTTATTGCCTCCAAAAAAAATCTTCCCTTGTGGTGCTTGAAAACACAATATCCTGGACCTGCCTCTATTGCTCATTTATATCGTACTGATATGATGTTTGGGGATATTGAGAGCAGAGAGTACCTTCTTCTTTGAATTCCTAGCATCCACCTGAGCGCCTGGCACATCATAGGGACCCATGTACATGTCCCCTGAACTTCTCTAACACTGTTTCCTCCACTGTGAAACAACGTTGGGCTATATGATCTGCAACAATCTACGACTTTGACATATCTACGACTTTGACATATCTGAACTAGCCCAAGGCCCTCTGCTTCATAACAAAGCCCACATCTTTGGTGTGGTTGGTTCAAAATTATGTGTTAAAACATGAATGATTTGTGCACAGTTTAGGGACTCCTCTCGCCCTGGCAGAGTAAGTGTTCTGGTAAGAGCAGTTGGAAGCCTAATGCAGCAGCGCCTGCAGCAGAGAAAAGATTCCAGCCTCCAACTCCCACACAATTGCTGCTGTTCTCCAGCCTGCAATTTCCTCTTAGGCTCTGGATTGGTCCACAGAGTGACAGAGGGCTGGGAAAGAGCCTCTATATATTCCTCAGAGAAAAAGCCAGTCCCAGACGGATTTGAAGTTTTCAAAGACTTGCTCTGCTGATAAGGACTTGTGCTCAAAGCTGAGGACCTAAGCCATTTGCCAAAATGTGCAAAGGACTTGCAGCCTTGCCCCACTCATGCCTGGAAAGGTGAGTTATTTTGACTTAAGAGGTGGAGATAAGGAGAATCTTCACTCAGGGGAGGATACTCAGAGGCAATAGAGGGCCACTGTAGTTTGTGGCAAAACAGGTGGTTGATTATAGACTGGGAATTGCCTCCTCTCTGTTAATGGCAAGGTTTTGAAAGATCTGAGCTAGCAGACTGATGCAATATGAGATATATCATACACCATTTATATCCAGAACATCATTTCCTCTGAGGAGATGCCTATTTTATAAGCTCTTGTTCAGACTCAGAAGTGTATGGTTAAGAGCATGGATTCCAACATCAAACTGCCTGGGTTTGAATCCTGGCTCCATTACTTACTATTTGTGTGGTGTTGGACAATTTATTTAAACTCTGTATCTCAGTTTCCTTACTGGTAAAAATGGATCTACCAAGTATCTTCCTCACTAGCTGGTTATGAGGATTGAATTACTGTATGTGAAACGCTCAGAACACTGTCTGGCACATATGAGAAATGTGTAAATGTTAACCTTTATTAATGTACATGGAATAAGAAAGGAAGACTGAGATTTGCAATGAGGCAGAGAGGACTTCTCATTTTTCTTTGTATCTGGATACCATCAGATAGAAGGAGCTGGATTGCTGGACAGAAGACAGCCCTTGGGACATAGAGATTATTTATTAGCTATCATTGTTCTTTAGATACAGAGGAGCACCTTTGAGGCTCTGTGGTTGTCTTCAGACTGGACAATGTTCTGGAGGGAATCCTAAGTATCTAGACTAAGTAAACAGGAGGAGAACAAATATCTGACTTGTTAGAAAATTTAACCCAGAAATCCTACCTGATGCAGAGAATTAGGGATATTTCTCCTCTTAGTTCTTAAGAATGAATTTGATTAAATTTTGTTTGATCCTACATTATTTAAAGGAAATAAAGGTGATCCTTGTACAGCCTAACTTCATCCCTAAGGGCACTGTCAATGTTTGCCTAAGAAAGTTGTGTTGTTCAATGGATCTGTACTTCTGTCTCTTACAAGTTCAGGTTTTCTTTTTGATGACTTCGACCCTAGAAATAATCTCAAAATGATTTTTAAGGAGATAACATCCTAGCAAAGGAATTTGTCTCCAACAATACTGTCTAGTGACCAGAAATAAAGACCTCTCTCACTTTGTGCTGTCAAAAGCACAGATTATTTTTAAAAGATGTATATATTTTTTTAAAAAGTAAAGTAGGACTTAAGTAACTAGACTAGGACTAGATTGTAACTAGGTGGGCAATATTGGCCATTGGATCATCCTCAGGGGGGGAGACAGGTTTCAGTGCTGGGTACTGTTTATCAGCCTATCTTTCCCCCTAGAGAAAGCATGAGAAACAGGGGGAATACAGGGGTGAAAGGCAATTCCTTGAACATGACGATGCATAATTTTTTCCATTTCCACTTTTACAACTCTGAGAATTGCAGATTTGACTTTTACAACAATTTTAACCCATGTCTTTAGCCCACTTATTGTTTGAAATCATGTACTTTCATGTAATGGGTAAATCTTAACCTTGTTAATTGGTGAACTATTGCCTCAGAATGATTGTTAACATCGGTCTGCCAGTCATTTTGTGATCCTATGACCCACTGCTTGGCATTTAGTGAAAAAGCAATAAATGTTTGTTGAAAGTTTGGCATTGTTACTAATATTGCCCGATTTGTTTTTGTAAATATGCATAATGTTTACTGAGGCACATGGATTGCACATTTCTTTCATTGATTCCTATAACTGTTTCATATCTGATTCACTAATTCACTACCAACATTGCTATTGATTCACTTTACAAATCTTTTAATTCACAGTAAATTCTTCTGCTCCAGGATATAACTAATGTTCACACAGTATATTATAGACTGGCCAAGGAGAAACCTCTTTTGCATAGATTGCCTGAAACTTTTAAGGCATATGGTAGAATCCTGTGATTATTGTGTCCTATTACATTTTTTTTTTATGATCTGTTACCATTGCAAATATAGTCATATTTCCAATGACTGTAATGAATGATTTGGAGAAGTGGAATTGTAGAGCTAGGGAGCTGTTAGCACACTCTCATGGAAAGAGCCTAAAACTGTCCACTCTAAGGGAAAAATGATACTTGAATAAATCCTTCCAAACCTGCCTTCCTTGGCTCTATTCATAGTGGAAAGAATACTGGTTACGGAGTAAAGAACAGACTTAGTTTTGTCATTAACTAATTTATGTCCATGAGCAAGTGATTTCACTGTCCTGGGATTTTATTTTCTTATTTAGTAAATGAATGTTGGATTAGCTGTTCTCTAACATCCTTTCTAATCATAATATAGTTTAAATAAAGTGAAATACACCTGGTTTCAGTGACTAGCGAGAGATGCAAGTAAAGGAAAATTTTTCCTAATTTATTTCTCTCTAAAAGTTTGGGAGCCAATTAATGAAAATCGTCAAGAATTCAACCCTGTGTTGAAATCATCGCCGTGAAAGAAGCAATCTACTCAGTGAGAATCTGACTTCCAAGAAAACAACATTTACTTCATGTAAGAGGAGCTTTGGAAAATAGTCCTTTCTCAATGTTTACGGAAGCATTAAGCCAGAGTCAACTTTGACGTATTTGTAGAAACTATTGTTTTACTATTTATTTATATTTTTAAGACTATTGCTCATTAAAACTCAAAGTTGACCTCACATTTTTTATATATTTAAAGAGACGAATAATCCAAATATTTGGGCAATAAATGGCCCCCCACCCCACAATTTTTACCTTCTAGCCTATTGAAACCTGTGCTTTATGGGTGGGAATCTTAGAGTCAATGGAAAAGGAAAGAGTTGAGTCAATTGAAAGTCTTATTTTTACCAGTGATTTTCCGCTATGAATTTTAGGCTTCTTTTAAAAAATTCATTTTATTTTAAGTGTCTTGAATTTCTCTGAACAAGTTTAATTTTTAAAGTAAATATTGCTCTTTGGAGAAAGATGGAAGTCTTCTGAAACAAAGAGTGTTATCATTGTGATTCCGCCAAAGCTGTCACCATTATATAAAGCAACCAGTGTGATTATTATTGTTTTTGTCCATCGGGGTTGACCACTCCTGATACCAAATTTACAGTCTCTACTAAACTAAAAACGGGAAGTAAAGGAGTAATGAAGACAGCTACCGACAAAGAATTTTCCCTGGGCTGTTAATAAAGTGTCACAAACTCTTCTATAGATATCTGACTTACATCTGATTTCTGTTTAAGATTATAAAGGCTGCTAGTTGTGGAATGTGTTTAATCCATAGTTCACACAGGGGCTTCTGGCCACCTCAAGTGTGTGGCAATGCTGGGAATTTCAGGAGCTATAGGAAGTAAATGGGGAAAGTGATGTTTTGTTTTGTTGTTTATTATCATTTTACTAAACATTCCATTTTTCCCCATCTTCTTCAATTTATGTGGGTCTAAGTGTGGATAATTTAGAGTAGAAAAGTACCTAATCAACTAATCTTGTAAGGTTGTCAAGCCACACAGAAGCAACAAACAGAGTGGGTCAAGGTTCCTGAGTCCACAGGATTAAGTAAATACAGCTTTTTCCAAAGGCATGAGCACATCCTTGGACCAATTATAGAGAAAAGATAAGCACCTAGTGAATTAAAGACTGTAGCAATGAACTTGAATAAATGATCAATGAATCAGAATGGACACAGGATCACCAAAGAAGCCTAAAGAGATAGTAGGGTTTGGGATCATGCTTTCTGGGAACAAGTATGAATTTGAAGCTTGCTATTGCTGATAGAGAGTCTTGTGACATAATTGCAAATATTTCAGTGAAACCCTGCAATCTTAAGGAAGTGAATAAACTATTTAATAAAATAGCAAGGGGATGTTCCTAAGAAAAACATTTGTTTCAATTCTTACTGATGAAACAATTTCTATTGTTTCTCTGGATTGCCTTTCCAACCTCCATACTTGCCTTAAGCATAAGGGTGAAAGAACTCTCAGGGAAATTTCAGTCCACATAAGGAGATAAATAAGAAGAAAGTAGCCCTCCATGTTGAGATCCACTATAGAGGAATAAATACACCAAGTGCTAAGAAGCACAAAAGTGGGGGGAATGGGTGGGGAGCTCATAGAGTTTTGGGTAGCTATGGAAAACTGTAAGAAGTCACAGGGGATGATGCCTAAGGTTTATGACCTAAGCCTGAAAGGACTGAGGAGTTGGTCAGGTCCAGAGAGGAAGAGGAAAGAGAAGGAAGTCATCCCAGGCCAAGGGGCACGTCTGCATGTGCAAAGGCTGGGAGGTGAGAGGGGATTGATGTTATGACATCTTTGTGCAGTCTGTATTGTCTCTCTCATGCAAGCAAGGAGGGAACTTTGGATTTCCAGCCACAGTTAACTTCCCATGCACCTCGTCCTGCATACTGTCTCCTTGGAACTTGTCCAGTGCCCATCCACTCCAACTGTGAGGATTGAAAAGATCTGTTCATGAAAAAGATTTTCCCCCCTTTTGTCTAAAGACTTCAATTACTAAAAAGACAATCTGTACTTGGCAAGTAGTAGGCACTTAAATACTTTGTCAAAAGAATGCACAAATATTTATTATAGCAAGTGGAGACAGACCTGCTTCCAGGTTGTCCTGGTGCTTCCTCTGCTTCCAAAGGGATTGAGAAGGACAAGGGCAGTGACTTTTATGCTACAATAGGATAAAGAGTGTATGTTGCAAAATAAAGAGGACTTCCTGTTTGGGGGGCAGAGTGGAAGAGACTGGGAGAGGAAGAAAGCTTTTCTATAATTTCATCAGGAAAACCTTGTTAAAGAGGTGAGTCTTCTTTTGCTTCTAATGCAAGATGAACCTCATGAAATTATATCACTTTGGCTATTTCTCATGCAGTACTGTCCCAGCTTCTTTAATGAATTACATTCTGTATTCTGTTGCCTCTTCCTATTATTTCTTTCATTTACTCTGAGCTATGTTGAAACACCAGATATCAATTCAAAACGCTTTTAGATCCCAGAATCTTAAGTTTGGAAAGCT